CACTTAACCACTGAGCCATATCCCCAGCCCCTTTTTATATTATATTCAGAGACAGGAGTTCACTAAGCTTCTTAGAGCCTAAGTTGCTGAGGCTTTCTCACAATCCTCCTGCCTCAGCCTCCCGAGTTGCTGGAATTACAAACAGAACTATTGTTTAATGGGTTCAGAGTTTCAGTTTGGGATGAAGGAAATGTTCTGGAGAGGGATGATGATGATGGTTGTTCAACAATATGAACTGAACACTTAAAAATTGTTAAAATGGTAAAATTTACATTATGTGTATTTTACCACAATAAAAATAATCAAGAACTCCTGCTCACCAACAGACATATAAGGAAAGTAAAAGTATGTGCCATACTCTCCGTGAACTTTGCATAACATATAACTGAAAAGGAGTAGTGTATGCAGAACATATAAACAACTCCTACAAACCAATAAGGAAAAGCTAAACAACAAAAAAAAAAAATATTATTTTTGGCAAAAGACTTCGCAGGAATGGTTAAAATGCACAAGATTCTCCTTAGTAATAGAGAAATGAAAATTAAAACAACACTGAGATATTGTAGCAATCTCTACTTTGATAATAATAATAAATATCTGAAAATATCAATAGTGTTGGTGAAGATGTGAAATCACTGACACATTTATATATGCTGGTGGGATATAAAACATTTCAATCACTTTGAGAGATATTTGGCACTGCTTTAAGTAAAGTTGAAGACATGTGTATCTTTTTTTTTGGTACCAGGCATGGAACCCAGGGACACTCAACCACTGAGCCACATCCCCAGCCCTATTTATTTAGAGACAGGGTCTCATTGAGTTGCTTAGGGCCTTGCTAAGTTGCTGAGGTTGGCTTTGAACTTGTGATCCTCCTGCCTCAGCCTCCTAAACCGCTGGGATTACAGGAGTGTGCCACTGTGCCCGGTGAAGACATGTGTATCTTATAACCTAGAAATTCCACTCCATAGAATGTTCCCTGGAGCTACTCTTGCTCATATATGCCAAGAAACACACCAAACCGTTCAAACAGCACCATGTGTGATAGCAAAAAGCCCTGCAAAGAACCCACCCTTCCATATGGAGTCAACAAATAAATGGAGGCATATTCGTGCAATGGGATACCTGCTGTCAATACTTAGGATCTGTGTGATCTTGGGAAAGTTAACCTTGGTGTGCCTCAGTTTTCTCATCAGTAAAATGGGGATAATACCATTGTCTACCTCATAGCATTGACGCAAGGATTGTGATCATTATTCAAGAATCTTTAAACTGTGCCCAGAACACGGCAACCTCTCTCTATAAACATTAATGCTGATAGGGTTCCTTGGCTCCTGCCTTGGAGAGGGCCCTCCTCCTGACACGTGACCACACTTCAGTGTCTCCTGTTCCATTCAATGTTTTCTTCACTGATCTCTCACCTCACTCTTCCCAGCTTGGCCCTAACGCACCCACCGCCCCGCTCCATGCTGCCTCCTGTCTCGGTACCTTTGCACATGCACTGCCCTCTTCCTGCCCCGCCCTTCCTACCTGCTCTACCTGCTGAACAGTCCTCTGGGCTTCAGTTTGTAGTTAAACTCTGGTTACTTGCTTGTCTCTCACTAGACTGTGGAGTCTGCAGAGGAGGCCTCCTCTTTGTTCAGCAGGAGGCTGTTACACATCCAACCCCCCCCACCCAGCTGGGGCTTTGGCAGCCTGGCTGAGGGCCCAGACTCTGCTATGGTACAGTCTGGGTTCAATGCCCGGCTTCACCTGTTACTCTCCAAGGGACCCTGAGTGAGTCGCCAACCTCTGAATGCCCATTTTCTTGATCAGCAACATGAGGGATAACACTGACTTTGCAAGCGCTCATGAGGATGACCTGAGATGACACAGGGGAAGCTCCTAGCCTATAGTAAGCACTCTAACAAAAACAGCTATTCTATTTCTATTTCTTCTCCCCCTGCCCCCCTCCCCGTGTTAGGGATGGAACCTGGGGCCTCCCGCATGCTCCCTGAGCAGCTCATCACTGAGCTACACCCCCAGCCAAAAGAGCTATTCTTAGGCTTCCCACCCGCTGCAACCACTGGCTCCTCCCTCACCAGCCTCTTGACACCACGCAGGTGCAGACAGTGAACCTGGTGCCCAGGAATCTGCCTGGGGCCAGAGGAGCTGTGTGTCCCCTGGTCGTGGTGGGCAGACTGAAGGCAGAGCTCAGGGCACTGACAGAGCTGCCCTCCCCATGTCCCCTCCTATCCCCTGTGGGGCTCAAGATAGACAAAACAACGGCTTCCAGATCCTCTCCTATCCCCCCTCCAAAAGTCTCTATTTTCTGCCAGTTGAAGACACACGGGCCACCTCTCTTGCAGCTTTGGGGCCCACGGGATGCTCCTCATTTCACAGAGGATGCAACTATGATTTAGAAAGAGACATCTCTTGTCGGAGGTCACCCTGTCCTAAGAGGCAGAGCCTGACCTTGAACCCATCTGTCTGTCCCTGCCTCCAGCCAGGCAGCCTCCAGGAGAAGGAGCTGGGGCCCTAAAAGGGGGCTCCAGACCAGCTGGGCACTGAGCCCACCCCTGCCCACACCCCATTAGCCCTGTCCTTCACCACCCGCCCGTCCCTGTCACAGCCCAGCCTCATTCTTCTCCTGCAGCTGGCACCGGTCACCATGGCAACGGGATGTTTGGGAAGCTGTGGGATGATGGGCTGTACCGCAGAGTCAAGGATGGGGCCCAGGGAAGGGAGCAGCCGTGGGCTGTTTCCAGTCGAGCGAGGCAGGAACCTGGCTCTACTGCCACGCCTCAACAAGCCCCCCCCCACCCACAAAAAAATGCTGCAGACCCAGGAATCCCAAGTCTGGACATCTGGTCCAGATAAATCATCTGGAGTGGGGAGGAGCCAGGTGTACCAGGATGTCCGCCCCAGCATCACTTACAACAGGACAAAACCGCACCTGTCAACCACAGGTAACCTTTTAAGCATTTTTCTTGTACCCAGCGCCGTGTTAAAAGCCAAACATGTGTCATCTCGTGTACTCCTCGCCACCACCCCACGGGGTAAGTGCTTTTAATAGCCACGTTTTGCAGATGAGGAAATTGGGCTCAGAAAGGTGAAGGCACTGGCCTAGGTCACCAGATAGACAAAGCCAGGATGGAATGCCAGCCCCTTGCCTGCTATGCCACAGCGGCTGGAAATGAGAAAAGGAAGTCCCAGCCCAGCGCCTCATCCTGACAGCGCCTGGGACTGTGACAAAGCTGTCTAAGACAACTATGATGCAGGGTTCAGGAAAAGCAAAAAAATTCAGCAGAACAATGTGCACCAACTTGGAAAGAGCTTCATCTACCACGGAGCCTACAAAGCCAAGTTCAAGCCCTAGAGCAACACAGAGGGCAGAGCCCGAGCCCACTCAGGTGAAAAGGTAGAGATGTTCACATCTGCACAGACGTTCCCAGGAAAGACACTGGAAGGGCACAGGGTGTGACAGGCATTATCCCTGGATGATGGGCAATGAGCCCAGGAGGCATTCACAATAAATAAATAAAATTATAAAATTTGATAAATATGATCACAATCCCAGGTAAAGAAAAGACATCTACTCACAGGGAAAAGATCGATACCCAAAATGCCTTCAGGAGTTGGTGCTGAACGTTGGCATTATGGGTGACTTTTATTTCTTCTGTATTTTCTAAGATGAATACACATCACTTTGAGAATTAAAGATAAATGTTTTGAAGTGATGTTTACCAAGACGATATGAAGACATTCCTAATGTAACCATGGTACAAATGGCAATAAACAAACAGGCAGATCACTGGTTCCTATCCCAGGGCTACGACTTGGCTCTCCGGCCTTGACGAGGCTGTCATTTTACCCCTTGAAGCCTCAGCATCCGCATCAGTGAAATGGGTAGAAGTCAATAGCATCTACCCTGAGGGACTGTTAAAAGATTGAAGATGAAGTGCTTAGCACAGTACCCCGCACATGCTAGCCCACCTAGATGTGAGGACCACTGTGCTATGATGTGGAGGATTCATGAGCAGCAAGCTCTCAAGACAGCCTGATTTGTGCCCTGGCTGTCACTGACCTGGGTGACCTTGGATCTGTTACCTTATCTCTCTGGGTTTCACAGGAAGATTATATCAAAAACATCTAGTGTGTTAATATGCAAGTACAATAAATGTGGAAACTTCAACTGTGTGGGAAATAGTCACTAAAAAAATACCTTCCATTTTTGGTGTACATACATGTTAGCTGTGAATTACTAACAAAATTAGTGTAAGTGGGAAAACTACAGAAAGGGAAGCAATGATTTTAGGGAACATGGCTGGGTACCGACTCCACAGCTGTGTGAGCCTGGACAATTTTGTTAACCTCTCTGAGCCTCAGTTTCCCCATCCAGTCATCTAAAGCTAATGCTTGTCTTCTAGGGCTACTGTCCACACTAAAGGAAAAGCAAATGTTAACATGAATTACATTGTTTACCTTGTACCTTATGCTGTGCTAGGTTCATTATTTTACATCATAAAATCTCATTTAATCCCGCAAAGAACTCTATTTAGCTGGTGTTAGTATTTCCTTTTTACAGATGGAGGAACTTAGATTAAAAAAAATATCACAAGGTCAGTCAGCTAGGAAAGGTCAGAGGCAAGATTTGAACCCAGGACTTCTTGGCTCCAGATGATTAGGACCCCTCCAAGAATTCAGTAGGGTAATTCATTTCCTCTTTTCCGACTCTGGCAGGCCTCAGCTTACATAAGAGTGAGAGAGAATGTTCATTAGGACTCCATCTAGGGGCTGGGGTTGTGGCTCAGTGGTAGAGCACTTGCCTAGCATGTGTGAGGCACTGGGTTCAAGTCTCAGCACTTCATATAAATAAATAAATGTCCATCAACATCTAAAAAATTAAAAAAAAAAAAAAAAAGAGCCCATCTAGCTTCGCCCTATTGAATTCTACCGCCAAGCATCGTGTAAAGAGGTGGCCTGGCCCTTCCTGTTTCAAATTTTTAGATTCAACTTACCAGTCTGGGGCAGCCTCCCGGGCTGGCTTCCTCTGGCTCATCCTGGCAGGGGTGGTCTGAGTGTGTATCTGTGCTGTGCTCCTGGGCACCGAATGCGGGACCTCTCCTTAGCCTTCTCTGCCCTGCGAGGGGGCCTATGGTGGCGGACTCCAGGGAGGAGCTGAAGATGTCCAGGCTCTCTGGGGAGCTGGAACAGGCATCGGCAGGGGCAGCGAGTTCCCACCCTAGCCTCTCCCCGGGTGCTGGCTGGGCCTTGGCCTCCAGCTCCTCCTGGTTCTCAGTGCCAACCCCCAGCAGGGGCTCTGCTTCCTGCTGCTCTGTGGAAGCCCCTCCTGGCACTTCCAGACACAGCACAGGGTTCAGCAGAAGGTCCTGTGCAGTGGGCCTGAGGGACTCTTCTCCAAAGGGCACTGGGAACCCAACAGAGCCGTGGGGGCTGCCAGGCTGAGCCTGGTACCCAGCAGCAGGCAAGTGTTCACACTCCTCCGCCCCTGAGGCTCGCGCAACCCAACTCCCAACTGGATCTCTAGGCCCAGCATCCTTGGGAGAGGGAGGCCTGCAGGGGCCCCCCAAGGACTCCAGGTCAGCACCTTGGGGGGAGCCTCCCACAGACTGGCTGTTCCCACCAGGGCTCTGATCAAGCCACAAGAAGCCATCAGCCCCTTTCCTACCTTTGGAAAAGGCCCTACACTTCCGGCTTTTTCTTCGTGACCTCATAGGGCCTGGTGAGGATGGAAGGCCCCTTCCAGGGGGTGCCTCTTTGTTGAGTGTGGGGTTTCTCCCATCACACCCTGGAGAGCACATGTCTTCATCTCCCACCTCCCTGGGCCTGGGGCTGCTGGCCCCTTTGGCTCCTGTCAGCCTCTCTCTGCCCACCTGTGCTCTCTTCGGGAGACCTGGTGACGTGCTACAGAGATCCCTGAGGCATCTGGTATGTAAGATGTCATGCAGGGAAACCTGGAGCCTCTGGGGGAGCTGAGCACTCCCCTGAGCAGGCCCTGGGGGCAGCTGCACGTGGAGCCTGGGGCCAGGCCTGGAATCTTGGCCCTGCTCCAAAGCTGGCAGCTCCAAAACCTCCAAGCTTGCCTCAGAAGCACCTCCAGCCTGGGAGCTGGCACCTGGATGGGACCCCTCCATGAGGCCCCTCTTCCTGCTCCAAGCCCAAACCTGGGCCTCTGATTTTAGGTCTGGCATGAGGATGGTCCCTGCTATGTCCTTCTGGAAGTCCCCACATCTGTGTTGGGGATGGAGAACAGGATCCTCTGGACTGGAGCCCTCTGCATCCCCCACCTGTGACATATCTGTTCACCTGGCAGGGCCAAAGGAAGACCAGGGCCTGTGTGGAGACAGAGAAGGGAGACCACCTCAAGGAGGGCCGGACCTGCCCGCCCACTCAGGGCACCAGGCCTATGGGAACCTGGTTGGTAGCCTCCTTTCCAGGTCCGGCCCACTCCAAGGTCTGGAGGGGAACCCTCCAGGGATCAGCTGCACTCGGGTGCCCTGGGTGGGTGGGGGAGGCTGCCTCCCACGGGAGCTGCTACAGCAGCCTTGGCCTCGCCCTCTCTGGGGGCTTACACCTCTGTTTAAGCGGGAGATAGTAATATCTATCGCTATTAATGGCTCATATGCACCATTTCATTTCGCCCTGGCAGATTCGCCTAAGGAAGCGAAGAGCCGGCATTCCCTCCCAAACCAAATGCCCAGCTTTAAATCACGCCACTCGGCGCAGACAGAGCAGGGTTCATACCCATCACCCCTCCCCAGCGCTTCCTTCCCTCCCATTCTGACAGGCCCCCAGCCAGTTTCCCAGGCCTGACTTGGACAGTCCCCCACCGTCCACTGAACCCTGGCCCAACAGGTCCAGCCGTTCTCACCTGTTCCCCCTCCTCCAGCTACACCCCCAACCAGGGTCACGTGAAGTGGGAGAGCCCCGCCTTGGAGCAGGCTGGGGGCGGAGACCTTGGTGAGGCGCAAAAGACGGCTCTGCTGGGGGTGCTGGCGTTGCCGCCCCAGCAGAGGGCGCGCCCTTCCTCTTGAGGGCTTCCCGGAGGAGGCGCCAATCCTCCAGGGCAGGGTTGACGGGCGCATGCGCCAGGGGTACCAGGCATTGAATGGCTTCACACGCCTGCTGAGTTTAAACCCGATTGTTTGGTGTTGATGGAGTGACAGTGCCTGAGCCCCTGGGGGAATATAAAACTCAGACCTAGATTTTTTTGCTTAATTATTTATTCTAATATTATTATTATTTCAAATATAATTTATGTAGCTAGCAATGTGCACATTCAAGTCCAACCTTAGGGAACAAACTTTTTTAAACCTTGGATATTGTTTTTGTAAGGGTAAAAGAAATTGAAGTTAAAGCGTAAAAGTTAAAGGGTAAAAGACCGGGTGTTGTAAAAGTTTCTAAGCTGCAAGGTCTGAGTTAAAATGTAAAGGAGGTATTGTTAGGTTTCTATGTTACCTGCAAAACCTGAAATTTCGGTAGCTGTTAAGACAATGCTTAGAACCGCCCAGTAAACATTTCCCCTGATTGTCTGGTTGTTTAATAACTGAAGGGGTCTGTGTGGTTGCACGCAGGCCTTGCAGGGCCTGAACCAATCAGTTTGAATGTGTTCTCTCCTTAGGAATGACCTATCACTCCAGCCTGAGCTGTTCCCGCCAATGAATGAACTAATCAGGTTTAGGAGTTGTTGTTCAATTTTCCCGCGCCTCATGATGATTTGTTCTGATGTATACAAAGCCCTCCGCCCTCCCCAAAAAGTGTACTTAAGCAATCCTCAGCCCCTGCTCGGGGCTCTGGGCTGCTTTCCCTTCTTGAGTGGGCACAGAGCCCCAGCATGCTGGTTCAATAAATCCCCTTTTGCCAATTGCATGAGTGGTCACTTGGTGGTCTCTTTCTCCGACGTTTCGCGGGACCCTTACATTTTCATTTACTTGATTTCATAATTGTGAACGATAGGGGCTGGGGTTGTGGCTCAGCGGTAGAGTGCTCGCCTAGCAGGCATGAGGCGCTGGGTTCGGTCCTCAGCACCACATAAAGGTAAAATAAAGATAGTGTGTCTACCTAAAACTTAAAAATAAATAAATATTAAAAAATAATAATAATAATTGTGAACGATATACTTATGCCTCTATTACTAAAATTATCCATTTTAACAGTATTTTTTGACTTTTTTTTTTGTACCAGGGATTGAACCCAGGGACGGTTAACCACTGAATCACATCACCAGCCCTTTTTTAAAATTTTTTATTTATTTTTTTTTTAATTTTGAGAGAAGGGAGACCACCTCATGGAGGGCCGGACCTGCCCGCCCTTGCGTTGCTTAAGGCCTCGGTAAATTGCTAAGACTGGCTTTAAACTTAAGATCCTCCTGCCTCAGCCTCTGCAGCCCCTAAGATTACAGGCCTGTGACCCCGCACTGGGTTAATACTTATTGACTTCTGATGTGGTGATTTAATTAACTGCCCATTCCCCTTTCTCCTCCTGATTTTTAATTTTTAATATTTACATTTCTAGCTTTTCTATGGTTTCTGTTATCCCTGAGGATAATCCTAAGTGTCTGTTTCTTCTTTATATTCCATGTTTTGACTCTCCTCCGTGTGAAACAACTTCCCTTGATATTCCCTCTCCACTTCTGCCACCTTCTATCAACTAAACCTTTACTTTTGCATCCCCGAGACTCATAACCTTTACATTCTATCCTGTAAAGATAATTCAATTTGCCATTATTCACCTATAGACTGATTCTTAACACTGAGAAATGACGTTCCTCACATTAAGATTATGGAAACACTTTTGCTATGGAACCAGGGGTCTGATGGGCCTGAGTGAGGGGGCTGAACTCACTAGCACTGAATACCTTTGTGCCCCTGGGGACCCCGAAATCTTCCAGGCCCACGGAACACTACACCACAGTTAGACTGAATGATTTTGATCAATGTATCTCAATCCAATGTCAAATTAAAACACCATGATGATAGTAATAAGGGAAACTGTGGGGTATATGGAAATTCTTCGTAGTTATCTTCACATTTTTTCTGTAAGTCCAAAAATCATTCTAGAAAATAAAGTTTATTTAAAAAAATTATACGGTTGTCCATATTGAAATTTGTCATGATCTGACTCTCAGGGTCACAAATGAAGTGAGAATTGAGATTCATTGTCACCAATAACCATAATTATTGCTCTGAGGAAATAAGTGACAGGCAGGTGGCACATGCCTGTCATCCCAGCTGCTAGGGATGCTGAAGCAGGATCAGGAGTTCAAAGCCAGCCTCAGCAACTTAGAGAGAAACTCAGTGAGACCCTGTCTCTAAGTATTAAAATACAAAAAAAAAAAAAAAGGTTTGGAGATGTGGTTCATTGGTTAAGCCCCTCTGGTACAAAAAATAATAATAATAAAATAATATGGTTTTGCCTAGATTCTGGCCCAATGTCTTTCACTCTATTGTTAGCTGTTTGTTCCATTGACATATCGCAACAACTGTGCTGTATACCTGGTTCCCATTAATACATGAATTTACTTCTTAGTTACCTGTTCCATTAGTCAATTTGTCTGTTCCTGATCAATATATTATTGTTTTAATTCCATGGTATTGTGATATATCTTTAAATCTGAGGAGCAAGCTCTACCCACCCACCTTTATTGGTTCCTACTTTTCTTAATTGTCTTAACTATCTATCTACATGTGTTCTTCCATATGAACTGTAGAATCAACCATTTTACCAACTTCCCTGGATAATTCTATTGGGATTTCTATTCTAATTTCATTGAATTTACAGATTAGAGGCTTAATTCAAAATTTTTAATACTGAGTCTTCTCATCTATGAATAAGATATATTTCTGTCCATTCTTTCAGGTCTTCATTTTTATGATTTTTCTTCATCAAAATATTGCACGTTTTTATTCAGTTAGTCTGCACTTCATATTTATTGTTGCTTTGTTAATTGGTTTCTAGGTTGTTACCAATGTAAAGGAAGGCAATTTATTTTGTTGACCTTGCATCAAGAAATTTTCCTGAATTCTCTTATTAATTCTAGTAATTTGTCTACTGATCCTTTTTAAAATGTGTGTATCTATATGGTCAGGTGGTCTATAAATAATGACAATTCCATCTTGTGTTGTATCAGACTCCTATTATTCCTTCTCATTTATATCTTTTGGGTAGATTGCATCAATCCTTATAAGCCATATTTATTTTTCTTGTCTTATTGCATTGTTTAGAACTTCTGGTACAATAATGAATAGCTGCATGGGGATCTTTGTCTTGTTCTTGACTGAAATGGAAGCAATTTTAAAGTTTCACAGATATTATTTTTGCTATAAACTTTTTGGTAAATGTACATTAGGTTAAGAAAGTTCCTTTCTCCTATTAAGTTATTGAATTTTTTCTCATTAATTGGTCTTGAATTTTATTGTATTTAATTATTATATTGTATTTAATTGTATTGTTTTTAATGGTTCTTGAATTTTATGTTTCCTCATATCTTTTGATAGTTTTCTGCTTAAATTGATTAATATGATAACATACCTTGATAGAATTTTCTAATGTCAATTCATCATTGCATTCCTCATAGAACTCCTGCTTAAGTATGACACGTTGTTTTTAAAAATACTGCTACATTTAGTTTGAAACATATAAGTCAGGAATTTGCATCTATATTTTTAAGAAAGATAAGTTGATATTATGATTTTCTTACCCAGCCTTTTCTAATTTTACTATCAAGGTTGTAGTATCTTTATATGAATTAAGTAGATTTCCCACTTTTTCTGGTCTCTGGAACAGTATGTATACAATACAGATTTTCTTTTCCTTGTTCTTGACTTAAATGGAAGCATTTTTCCTTAAAAATTTGGTGTGTATGTTATGGTTTGGATATGAGATGCCCCCTGAAAGTTCATGTGTGAGATAAAGAGGGAATGTTCAGAAGTGAAATGATTAGATCATGAAAACTTAAACCTAATCAGTGGATTGATCTATTTGATTGATTAATAACTTGAAAGGACCGCTGTACTGGGTGGTAACTATAGGCAGGTAGGGTGTCACTGAAGGACTAGGTCACTGGAGGTGTGGCCTTGGGGGTTGATATTTTGTTCCAGGGTCCTCAATCACCCCCACGCTCTCCCTCTCTCCCTCTCTCTCTCTGTTTCCTGGATGCCATGAGATGAGCAGCTTTCCTCCTCCAGGCCCTTCCACCATGATGTTCTGCACCATCTCAGGCCCAGAGCAATGGAGCTGGCCTACCATGAACTGAATCTCTGAAACCTTGAGCCCCAAATTAAACTTTTTTTCTTTT